TCCCCAGCCTCCGCTCCCTCTCTGCCCACCGCCCTGTCTGCCCACATTCACTCTGGACCTTTGGACCGATTGTTACGAAAAAGGATTATTACGTCACTGGCTGCAGTTCCCGGCCCTATACCTCTAGTTAACACTTAAGCCAGTAACTGCACAAGATTCTTAGATAACTAACTCTCTTCATGCCCCTCTCCCACTACCACCATTGGAGTAATCCATTACAAATAAAGGTCATTAACACTTGATGTCCATGCTTCATAGATCATCTCGCCCCAAAGCGGTTGGATGGGATTAATCATATTTCATTGCCCCCCTCCCGCCTCCACATACACATCCATTGGAAAGGCTCAAATTAGAGCCACTAACGATTCTTTCACAATCCCCCACCACCATAGAACCCTGACACAGTTTTGCCACTATTTGGGGGCAGGTATCTGTCTATGTTTACACTGTGCTGGATTTTCTTTGCATGATAGTGAATTTGAATTCGTGGTTCAGTATATGAAATCTCTATTTCCTAATGTGGCTATATGAAATACTGCTGGCTTTAACCATTACCACCAAACATTGACTTACTTTTTGATAATATGTAAACATCAGCTACAAAGAAAGATAAAAACTTTCTTCTTAATCTGAGTATTAGTGTTATGGTGGAAATTCCACCGAAGCCCCCATCTCCTATCTCCCTGCAAACCCTGTTGTATCTCAGAAAGTCTGCCAAATGATGACCCCTCCCCCAGATATCTCAAGACCACTCCGACAGGGCGTTTAAACTGCCCCCCCCCAAAACCAGTCTCGTGGTTTTTCCGGTCTCTCTTTCCTGTCTCCTCTCTGGGGGCCAGAAGGCTATCTGTGAGCATTGTATCCATTAAATGTGGGCTTTTTCTAATTCGGTTTGATTTGGTCTGATTTGAGTTGCTTCATCAGTGGAGAGGCTTATCCGGGTGCAGGAACTTTTCAATTAGTATAAAGCTTTTATGCCTTCATTTGGTTGTTTATGTACCCACTTCTTTGCTTTATAACATTGTTGCAACTATCTACATTTAAAGAAAAATAGCACATTCGTTCAGAGACATCCTGTGGTCTTCCCATATTTCCAGATTTCCAAGTACAACTATATTTGATACCTGGACTATTCTGTCTTTTCCATTCTCAAAGAAAAGCCTAAAGAGACTTGATGATCTTTCTAAATAGGGCAGTTTTACCAAAAGAGCAGAGCACAGACTGCTGTTGGAGTGCATGGGCAGACAAAAAGAAAGCATGGCCTGTGGTTGTCTACTCACTCTCTTGGGTGCTGCCTACAGATGGAGTTTTACTGGTAGTGGTTATGGATGAAGATCACCAAGAAGGGAAAAGTTGGGTATTGGTGGGGAGAGAGGTTTTCCGCCTATATGACATAGTACTACTGATCTTTCTGAACTTACCCATCAACTTTTTCATAATTTCCTTTTCTGCTGATAAAGGGCTACTTTAAAACTATTTATTCTGATGTTTTTATGTAAAATTAATGTGCCTAATTTTACACTTCTCTAAAAAGTGGCCCAGTCCTAAAAGTTGGGAAAATGTGAAAGAATCCTGTATGATGGGAACTTGTGCTGGTCTGTGGCTCACATGACTCAGCCCTAAACTTGATCCTATCATTAGCATGCTGTGTGACCTAAGACTGGTCTCCTAGCCTTTCTGTGTCTCAGCTACTTTAAAGTCAGGTGGAGATGTATGACTTCTCTCCCTTATATTTGTGACAATTAAATAAAATAAACAACATCTAATACTAATATAAGGCACTTTTGGTCATCTTTTGTACATGATAATGGTTAATCTAGAAACTAAACCAGTTGATTTCAGTGGTGGTTACCATTAGATCTCTTAAGTTTGAATCATCTCAAAAGTTTTTCCAGCTTGTTGTGCACAATAAGGTCTTGCACAGGCTCTCTATGGTTCTTAATGAAATCTCTGGACCATTCACAGAAGCAGCACATGGAAGCTTGTTAAAAATGCAAATTCTTGGACTCCATCACAGTACTACTGAAACCAACACCTTGTAGGTGAGGCTCAAGGACTTGCTCACAAATTCTTTGATACTCCTGTCTTCAACAGATACAGCTCAATCCTCCTCCCCTGAATGTGGGCTAGGTTTTGCAGTAGCTTCTAACAAATAGATTATGGTTAGAAGTGATGAGATTACAAAATTACAAATTACACTCAGTGATTAGGTTACAAAACTACTGGGTCCCTCAAAATACCTGACCAGCATGCCTCAAAACTTCAAGGTCATTAAAAGCAAGGAAAATTGGAGAAAGTGGCACAGCAGAGACAAACTCAAGGAGATGATGACAACTAAATATAATGTACTCTCCTGGATGGAATTATGGGGTAAAAAAAAGTAACTGGTTTAAAAACTAAGGTATCCTGGACTCTGGACCAAATGTGTTTAATAATCATATATCTTGGAAACTAAGGTATCCTGGACTCTGGACCAAATGTGTTTAATAATCATATATTATTCATGAGTTGTTCATCCTTTTCCCTCCCCTCTTTTTTTTCTCCCATCTCCTCTCCTCATCCTTTCCTCCCTCTCTCATTTTTCCTCCTCCCAGTCCCCTACATTCTCCTCTGCCTCACAGTTTGGAAGTAGATGCTCCTACTGTAAAACCTAGAGATGACATAGCTCTGGCCAGAGGCCTTGATTCGTGCCCCACTGCAATCTTTGAAAAACTCCGTGCCAAAACCCCTTAGCAGAGAGAGATGTCCTTGGACACTTAACACGAGAATTCTTAGATTCTGTTTCCATCTGCTAAGCTGATGATGAGTTGTGATGCAAAAAGAATAAACTCATAAGCAAGCCCCCCCCCCAGGATTCTGACCTGTGAGCCACTCTCCACCCTAACTCTACATCTCTCCTACCAAATGCCTTAGATTGCAGTTAATTGCTTAAACCTGAAGGGAGGCCTTCACTGTCTGTGAAGTCCACCCCTTCCCCCTGCTGCATGGTTTCCTTATAAACAATACTTCCCATTCTAACTTTCCCAACACTGTGCTATACCGTTATTAATGCTACCTTCCATACTAGACAGCGTTTTGCACAAGTACCTGCCATTATTTAAAGTCACAAGAAATATTCATCAAATAAAAATGAACAAAACTGGAGCTAGAGAGATGGCTCAGTGGTTAAGAGCACTTCCTTATCTTCCCAAGGGTGAGATGGCCCACCTGTAACTTTAGCTCTAGAAGATCAGATGCCCTCTTGTGGCCTCTGTGGGTACCTGCAGACACATTTTTTATAATCTCTATAAAATTCATTGTCTCTTTCATTCACAACTACGCTCATTCTTGTTCCCTTCTCCATGAATTGTATTTTATGCTTTGGAGACAAAAATCAGCTCATGTTAACTGCAATAATGAGAGATACAGGCCAACTTGAAAAATAATGAGCTTAATTCTGATTCCTAGACACTGTTAGGGTGCCAACATAGAACACACAGTCTTTTGCCAATTGGGTTTTTGTTTTGTTCATGGGTTTTGTTTTGTTTATTTTTCAAGACCAGGTTTCTCTCTGTAACCCTGGCTGTCCTGGAACTCACTGTATAGACCAGGCTGGCCTTGAACTCAGAGATCCACCTGCCTCTGCCTCCTGAATGCTTCAACTAAAGGCATGTGCCACCACACCCGGCTAAAGAAAAGGAATTTTAAAGGTAAAAACTACATCCTTGTATCTTGCTTGGCAGTTGCAAGGGAGGTTTTTTGCAAGCAATCAGATTGACACAAGTTAAGATAAGCAGTTAGCTGAAGGGGCAGGGTTTCTGCGCAAACAAGTGGTTTAACGGAAGCTAAAATAAGTTAGCTGGGGCATCTTGACCTCAGTTAGGATAATTTTCCACAGGGCTTCCCAATCAAGGAGATCAAATTCTATTCAAATGTAAAATGGCCTTAGCAAGAATACAAGATGGAACAAATTCTGTACTCTCTTGCCCTGGCACAACACCTGATAAAAGTTAAGCCAACATGAAAGGAGGAAATATTTTGTAGGGCCTTGAAGCTTCTGAAACAGTCCTCTTCACCTCCATTCCTTCTCTCTATCTTTTCCCCATCTCTGAGTGCAGACAAACAAGCAAGTAGTACCAGTTTACAACCATCTTGAGACTAGCAGGAAGTTGACATAGCAGAATGTTGAGCAGAAACAGGAAGAAAATAGGTCCTCAGTAATGGTATTAAGCTACTAGCAAAGCAACCACCATGCCTTGTCTGAACTTGCAGCTATACCGGCCAGTACATGTCCTTTATGATTCAGACAATCATGAGCAGACTTACATTACTTCAAAAGAGTCCTGACCCTCATGCCAAGAGGTCTCCAGTTGTTGCAAGTCTTCCATTAATGCTTAATATTAGGTTGTAGTTGGGTTTTTTTTTTTTCACTCTTTGGAGGCCCACCACCCAGCTCCCAAATAAATGCATGGAGACTTAGTCTCACCTCTGAATGCCTGGCCTTAGCTTAGCTTAGCTTGTTTCTAGACAACTTTTCTAACTTGAATTATCCCATTTCTCTTTATGTAAGCTGCCCACTGCCTGCTCTTGCTGTGGACCCTGGTTCAACTCTGAACATTCATATGAGGGCTCACAACCACCTGTAACC